AGCCGGAGCCGCTCCCGCCGTGCCAGCGCTCCTTGCCGGCGCTCCGGGCCGCGGCGGGCGCAGCGGGGCCGTGCGGTGCCAGCACTGCGTCAGCTCCACACCCCGTCAGCTGACCCGCTCCTGCAGCACCAGTGCAGCACCACTGCGGAGCACGGGGAAGCCCATGGTTCCCTCCCTGGGCTGCAGGGCGCTTCTCCCGCAGCTCTCCCCTCTTGGAATGCATAATTGATAATCCCAGCTGGAGAGATGGACAGTCAACCGAGCAGTTGGAAAGATAAGGGTATTTATTCTTTCACCTTTTTTTCCTTATTTTATTCCTTTGAGATGCCGTGGGTTGTTTTCAGCAAATGGTGTCTGTAGCATGTATTTATCTGACTGTGAAATGTAGACGAAAATGTGGAATATCTTTGTGCCACGTGCAGAATTATAAAAGCTGCAGGTTAAAATGGGAAAATACGAGCAATGCACAAAAATAAATAATTTATGTAGGTGAAAAGGCTCGTGTGACACTGCAGATCTTTTCCAGTCCTACAGAGCATATTAATGAAGGGCTTGTTTTGGTATGCACGGCACAAATACCGGCGTAGTCCGAATTTAGTCTGTGCTCCTTGGAAATTTCAAGATTATTAATAATCTAACAGTAGTAACCATTAACTGAAAAACCCCACGTAATCTGCAGGTCATGTCTTAATATTTTTAAGAGGAGAAAAATGCATGCAGGCTACAGCAGGGTGGGGGTATTTTCTCTAAAAATCTGTTTGAAATCTACCCTTAATCCCATTTGCTTTAGATATCTCATAATTCTGTCGAATTCTAGGTAAAATTGTGTCTGATTTTTCAGAATTTACAGCCATAATATCCAATTGTTTTAGGTAAATAAGTAGCTAACCTTAAATTAGTGTGGTGATGACCTTTGTTCCTGTAAGAACCAATGGGAGATCTCCGGTGTAAATCTCTGTGGATCATTACATTAGTGCTCAGTGTGTTAGAGTTTAAGCCTTATTTGAATAAGTAATCTTCATACTTTATCAACAGGACAAGCTTTAAAACATTTAATCATTTCTGGATACTTGAATATATTTTAAAGGGCCCTGTCATGCTTGGTACTTGTGAGATTTTCCTCTTTTTTTGGGAATTATTGTTCAAAATCTGTGTTTTTTTAATGTTTTTTCCACTTGGATAAGATTGTCAACTCTCTGAAATCCATAGAATGCTTTAGCAGAACCTAAATATATAGCAAAAAAAGTCCTGAAGGTGAAAATACTTCACCCCTGCAAAATCAAGTTCTTAAAGTTTAATCTTTCATTAAAGGGCTGTAAAATATTAGGAAAAAATATTTTGCAGTGTTTAGCAATATGTTGTTGATGTGTAAGTAATTTAAATGTTCAAGGCTTGCGTGTCAGGCCTGAAATTCTTGGGGATGGGAAGAAAGAAAGGAAAAAAAAAAAGAGAGGGGTGAGGTCAGAAGGTTTTGGTAAAAATCTTAAGGCAAATTCACTTTTTGTGTTGAGGCCAAATTTTCAGGTTTCTTTTACAACCAGCCCGGCAGGGGTGGTGCTGATGTGAGAGCACACTTCCAACCCTGGAATTTGAGGCCTTGAGGATAATGGAGTCTGTTTTGGTTTAAAAGCCCTGAATTTCCCACCCTGAGCAGAGATCAGGTCTAAAAGAAAATGGAAGCAGAAATGAAGGCTTCTGGGGAAGCAGAAGACCCTGGTTCCTCTCCTTCTGCAGCTGCTGTTGAAGCCTGGTTTAGAGTTGTTTTTTTGTTTACAACAAGGTGAAGACGCTGTGTTTCACATTCTTCCTTCCTTCAGGCTCCAGTGGCATAGAAAATGATGGGTAAAAGTTCAGGGACTGATTGCACTATTCATCAAGCCCCAAAATAAATATAGAAGCAAATATTGCAACATGCTTCTTTCCATACTAAAAAATGACTTTTAAAAAAACCAATTACATCTGAAACCAGAGAAGAGCAAAAAGTATGATTGGTAGTTGGATTTTGCAGCTGAAACACCGCTTCCTAATGAATATAATCTTAAATTTAGATTTGGTTAATGTGTTGTAGTTGAGGAACAAGCATAATGCAAGTGGCACAACCTGTGGCATTGATTAATACCTGTGGTATTGATCAGCCAGATAGATAGGATGAAATAAGTCTACCCTGGGGATAGCATGATTTTAATTTTTAATGCTCTTGAAGATACGCCCTATGGAGTAATTGCTACTAAAATGTGACGTTTATTTATTTATTTTTAAATGATTTCCAGGAATTGTCAGGTTTTAATGGCTGAATATTGATATGATGGTATGGCGAACAGCACAGCTATACTTCCAGGTTATGCCAGGATGAAGAGAAATCTCTCTGAATTTTGGTTTTGCTTAGTTAACTAATGGCAAAGATTCCGTAGGCAACCTTTATCATGAATATTTGGGGCTCTGGAATGATTTTCCCAGTTGGTACATTGTGCACACATGCAGGAGTATCTGGTCAAGTAGAAATAAAAGGAAAATGTCGCTTTGGCCCATTAGGTAGCATTTGGGATTTTTTAATTAATTTTTTTTTGAGAATCTGGTAGTTTGCCTTGTCATTCTAGCAGGTACTTGTGAAATCTGTATGATGAAAAAGTGACCTTTTTTTGGCTGGGGTTGCGATGCAGATGTGCCAAGCCTGAAGTGTGGCTGGTGCAGGCTCATTCTGTGTCTGTGGCACCCAGTGGAGCTGGATGTGCTGCTCCCTGGGGATGCCTGTCCCTGGGACAGGCCGCAATCTTGTGGCCCTGTTAGGAGATCAACCGGGATTTTTAATAATCATCCTGATGCAGGAAAGCTTGAAAATGTCAAACCCCAGTGTGTGGTGACGCTCCACACCAACACCGGCTGGCTGATGGCTTCTGTGGGGGATGGGCTGTGTCCAGCCAGCACAGCCCTGCAGGGCCAGCACTCGGATCTCGGCACACACATCACCAGAAAGCCCGAAGATCACATCCTATGTGCAGTTTATTACGTGTAAGCAGAAAAGGCCTCTCTGAGCAGAAACACAGAGCAATTTGTGGCTGTGCATTTGCCCTGCTCGGTGACAGATGGGACATTGCGCCACAGCCGTGCTGAAAGCTGCCTGGCCCATTTCTCTATCGGCACAAGGCTAAACTGAGGCAGAAAATGCTTTTCTTGCCCGTGCCTCGTGCTCTGGTAGAACAGAAAGCATCCGTGCCTACCTTTCGCTTCACAGAAACGTTCCGGTGTAACAACGCCTGGAAATCCTACAGCGTTCCCTCCCCTCCCCTTTGACACAAACAGCCTTTCTTTGGCTCTGAAGGGGTTTTGTGGGGCTGTAAATCCCCGCGGGAAGCTGTGGGCTGTGCAAGCCGCGTCTCCAGAGCCGAGCTCCGAGCCCTCCGGCTGCCATTGGCGGTGCCGCCGCCTCAGGGCCGGCAGCGGGCGGAGGTTGCGTAGCCGCGACCTCGGGCTGCCCTGACAGGAAGTGCAAAGCGCCGGGAGCGATCCGTGCCAGGGCCGGCCGCTCGCTGCACGCTCAAGATGGATGCCAAAATGGGTTAGTCCCTTTCTCCTGCTTTCTCTCTGCTACGCGCGAGCTCCGCTCCTTGGAGCTCTCGCTTTTCGTTTCTCTTGCTTCAAACAACACAGCGTCGCTCGCTTTAGCTCTTCTTTCATTTTTTTAAATGAGAATTATCAGCTTAAATATATCAGACCGCTTGTTTTTGTCATCAAACCCCGATATGATTTGCTGGGTTTTAAGTTAAATATCTGCAAGGAAAGGACTTTAAAGAATAGAACGCCAAAGCTATGGCAGCACTTGCTTTGAAAGCAAAATGTAACTGGATGAGTTGTGCATGTAAGGCACGGATGGTACAGGACTATTTTTAGACGTGCCAAGTGACAGTTCGTGCTTACCAAATGTAGGCAGCTGTTCTTGTTTTAGAATAAGCCTGTAAGACATGTATTAATATTATTTATTTTATTATTATTCGTATTGTATAAAGTGCAGCTCAGAACTGCTTCCATAAGGAAAGATGTTGTGGGGCCGTTGTTGAAAATTGGTTTGGGGTTTTTGTTTTTCTGGTTTTATTTTTAATCTGCTGTGAATATCTTGCGTGTAAGTTGAAGCCAGAAAGCTGTTTCTAGTAATGCTTTTAATATTTTCCTTTCAAAATAAACGCAAATAACTTGTTTCTGATCAATTGGAGAATACAAATCGGATGAAATACAAATTTCAGCTGCTTTCTTGGACTGCAAAATTACAAAGCAGTTTTTTCAGTGACTTAAACACCGAATTTCCTTTGAGGAATTTACTATGAAACCAGATCCCTATGTCATTAAGCCAGCACTCGTTTGATCGTTCTCTAAAAGGAGTGGAGATGGAACGAGGAGAAATGTTTTATGTGCAGCTTAACTCTGGTCCCGGAGCTCCTGGCGTGGGATTTTTCTTATTGATTACCGAGAACAAAAGACTTGATGGGTCGCTAAAGGCCATTTGGCTTTTGCTGTGTGCTTTAATTCCAGCAATGTACCTTTGTTTCTGGCATTCTGGAGCTGTCATACAGATGAATTACTCTCTTTACATTCCGTATAACTGGGCTAATGCATTAATGCATGGAATAAGTGATTTCCTATGGAGCAGGAGGAACCCAAGGCTTTAAAGCTGTGCAGAGAGGAGGGAGCAGCTCATTTACAGAAATAATGCTGTCTGCAGGGCTCATACTGAATGTGTCACCTGATACAGGGGCAGCACCAAATTCGAGTGCATGGATGCTCAAATTGCAGCATTTAAAAATAAACACAGTTTCAATACTTGCAGCAAATGCTTCAAAAGATATGAGAGGCTTTTTAAAAAAAAAATAAAAATAAGATGCCTTACATGCTTTAAGAGCACAAAATGCACCAACTGGTTTTGGCAAGACTGGTTGGTTGTGAAGATCTCAGCCAGGTGTTGAGGCTCCTTCCAGCTCAGTTTAGGTTTACAGGTTACAAGGATTCTTGGGTCAATCACACAGTTTTGTTGATGTTTAATGATGTAAGGTGTGCAGATACAATAATTAATAATAGATTCTTTTGTGTCTGGAAGCAAAGGAAGAACCCAAAGAAGCAGCTAAATTTTGTGATTTCGACCCACATGAAAGCAGATGTACGATGACTTGATTTTGTTTGATTCTTTACAAATGTTAAGGAAAAGTTGTGTTGCTTGGTGCCTGGACTGGAGTGGGAGGAGGAGTTTGGATTGGAGGTGCTGGGAGAGCAGGAGCGTGGTGGCCTCCGGGCGATGCTGCTCTATCTCTGCCCCCATATGTTTGTGCAGTCACGTGTGGTGGCAGCTCCAGCCCCTGATCTGGCTGGCTCCCGGCTTTCTGCCGTGGTTTTGGCACAGCACAGGCGCCCAGGCTGGAAGAAAGGAGTGGGATGGATGGTGCTGGAGGGGTGAGGCTGTTGTTTCCACAGTGCTTCTGGCCTGTGATAAACTGGAGGTGTTGGTGCAGCTGTAACCTGGCTCTGTCTGTGAGGCTGCAGGAAAACTTCTGCTGAAATGTGAATTAAATGTTAGGGTGGGCTGAAGTTTCTGACTATGGTTTTCATCTTGGAATAACTGGAAAGAACTTCAGCTCTTGAAAGCCTGGGAAAACACACCCCAGCCCCAGGGGCTTTGGCATGTTGTACCTACAAATGGGTTACACAGACTTTGCCCTACAGAGGCTACCAAGTGTTGAATGTTGGTGCTTGACTGTGTTTTTATCCTGCAAGAAATAATAGACACATTCTATTTTTTAAAATATTTCTGCAGTCATCCAAAAAAATCTGTTCCAGGCTGTGATATAGTGTTTTACAGTTAATTTTGGGGATGTTTAGGATGAGGCAGGATTGCTAAATATCCAGTGCAGTAGTAATATGTTTCTGTAATTCATCTTGAACTATTGCTGTTAACAAACAGAGCCGCAGTGGGTGTGTTGAGCCATTACCTATGCCTTGTGCAAGGGTGTACTTTGCTCTGAACAGTGATGCTAAAAATGGCATAATATTGTGTTCTCTAATGAGGGTCACTTAAGGAAAACTAAACTTGGTTTGCAAATGAAGTCTTCTGCATTGGAGCACAGCAGATTTAGCCTGGATTGACATTTCGGGGTGAGTATTCTCTCTTTTGATGGCTCAGTCTGTCACCCATAATCAACATTATAAACTGCTACGGGAATGTTTCCATCAAAAGAAAACAAAGTGAACTGTTAATGAGTCTTTGAGCAGTGCCTTTGCCTCTACCAGGCTTGGGAAGATGTAATGGTTTAGGGATCTGTTGGTGTCTTGTTATCTGTCCTAGCAGGGAGTTGGAATCAATCTCTCCAGGGAGTGACCTCCACAAAATGCCTGCCAGTGAGAGGAAATGAGGCACAAACTGCTGTGGTTCTGGTGCAGAACACAGCACAGCAGCTGAAGAGATGAATTCTGACATTGCTTAAGGGCATCATTGTTATAAAATTTAAACAATTGCATCTGGGGTAATCCTAATAGCAGTAATCCAAATAATCTGAAGTCCAGAGCAGAACCAGCACTAAATAACCTATTTCTAGTTGTGATTTCAGCTCTGGTTTGACAGGGGTTCGCGAGTTCTGCTCTCGGTGACTCTCAGCAGTCGAGTGAATAATGAAAAATTACTGCCTTGATACGAATGCCAAAGTGTCTTGTTCTAATTTCTTACCTCTTTCAAATTGTAGTTGTTGACCTCCTTTACTGGCGAGACATTAAGAAGACCGGGGTGGTGTTTGGAGCCAGCTTGTTCCTGCTGCTCTCATTAACAGTCTTCAGCATCGTGAGCGTCACAGCCTACATTGCCCTGGCCCTGCTCTCTGTCACCATCAGCTTTAGGATATACAAGGGAGTTATCCAGGCAATCCAGAAGTCTGATGAGGGCCACCCCTTCAGGTGAGATTTTTCTTTTAATTTGTGTTGTTTTGGAGAGCAGCAGTGTTGGCGCTGCCAGAAGCAGCGGGTGACGCGTGCTGCAAGACGTTGCATAATAACGTAAATAGACTGCGCTGAAAAATGTGTTCCCCACTTTCAGATTTTCTCAGGAGTCAGACAGTTAATACAGAAAATGGATTGAGGGCTTGGTACAAGGGATGGAAAAATCAGAATAAATGTAACGGGGTTTAAACTGTGACAAAGAGCAACTTTAATATTTTTGAAACTTTTAAGACCTTAAAACTTGTGGTTTAGTGTGCAGCAGTGTAGCTGTGCTCCCCACTTGCGAGGTCAGTGACAGGGTCCAGGTACCCACTGCTGCAGAACTGCCTCAGGAGAAAGCAAACCTCATTAATCTGTGTTGGAGAGCTTGTAGCAGTGTGTGTATCCCATTTCCCTGCCAGCCCTGTCCCACTCTGCCCAGCCTTGCTTCTCCCTGTTATTAATGAGTGAAGTGGCTCAGTCTCCCCTTGCAGCCTTCAGAAAGTCCTCTTTGCCTCTCTGTCTACAGCTTTCTTACAGATATTGTGGTATTCCCTTCTCCCCATCTTCTGTCAGGCAAGGTAAAATGTTTCTGTGGGTTTCCCTCCGTTCCTCTGAGATCACATGCAGTGGCTCCTTTTCCAGTGGAAGAATTTTGTGGGACAAAATTCTGGGGAAAAAACACCCCCTTGCTAGGGTGAATATTCCCCGTTGAAATCCATTTTGCTTCTCATTATCCAAACAAAAAATTCAAGTTTTTTCTTAGCAAGGACAAGCAGAACTTTTTCAACCCATGCTCTTTCTGTAGTTTTTTTCTAAGAATACCAATATTCCTATGTAGCTCCCAGACATTCTTGCCCAGCATCCCTTTTTGTTGCTTAACTTTTTCTGTATAGCTTAGCTACAAGAAGGATATTTTTACTTGAAAAACCCCATGAGAGGAATTGGATTTTTAATGCAGGCACTGAATATCTTGTGGATGAGCTGGGAAGGGTGAGCAGATGGATCCAAGGGTAGATGGCAGAAATGTAGCCTTGAAATGGCCACTTGCTGCAGTTAGCATTTGAAGTATTTTCATTTGTCTTGGACTTGCCACAAGGTCATGTTCAGCTTTGCCTTAAATGACATCCATGGGAACATTGTGCAATTTTCTTATTAAAAAAATCCCCAAACAAAACCACCCCAAAGCAGAATCCCCTAAATGAAAGTTTAACAACTGGAAAATGAGCTCTGTGCTACAGATGTGCTGCTTTGCTCCTTCTGCCTCCAGCATGCACATTAGATAAATAATTCATACTTTGTTTAAGGACTCCAAATTGCCACAGCCACTGCAACTACAGATAAGTGACAGTGGGGTGGAAGGAACATATAAGTGGATAGGGGTTTATATCTTAATGTAAAAGAACTGCTCTCACTAGCTGTAAGATTTTTTTTTTTCTAGCAAATGAGAAATTCAGGTCATTTTGCTGTGCCATATTACAGCTTAACAGTAACTCCACAAGGGCCTTCCAGGGGCAGAAATGCATATATTGCTTTTGTAGGGTTTTTTTTTTCCCTTGTCTTAGCCTGCCCACCTTTTTTTGCCTGGTGCAGGTGAGTGAGTAAATAGCAGTGAGAAAACAAATGGTTCTCTAAGAGTAATTTAGGTTAGTTCTGTTGTTTCAGCTTCCTCACCCTGTGGAGTTTGTTTCTCTGTAGCATAGAAAGGAGGTTCTATTGACACTGTATCTAACACATAGATGAAGTTTGCAGGCTGTTACCCTGAGCTTTCCTGGCTGTCTCCTGCAGGGCTTACCTGGACTCGGATGTGGCCGTGTCCGAGGAGCTCATCCAGAAGTACAGCAACGTCGTGCTGGGCCACGTGAACGGCACCGTCCGGGAGCTGCGGCGCCTCTTCCTCGTCGATGACCTGGTGGATTCCCTCAAGGTGAGTTTGCCTCTGAGGACATTGACCCAGGTTAGCAAAGCCTGCTGCTTCTTGTGGAATGAGCAATGGCTCTGGTTAAGTAAATAACCAGGTGTAGTTTGCACTTGGAAGTGTTTGGCACAGGGCTGGATATCGGGAGCTGCCTGCAGTGATGGGGTAGGTAAAGGATGACTTGATGTGCACATGAGCAGAGCAGTAACACAAATGGAAAGCAGAAATAAGCTGTGGCTGCCTGCAGCTCCCTGTTCCAGCTCCTCACTGGTGCCACTCACAGCAGGAATCTTCTGAAAAAACAAGCTGTGCTCCTGTCTGGGCACTGGGGGAGTGTCACTGATGTGTGTGTCCCTCTGGAAAACCTGGCTCTGGGCTGGATTGTCCCAGCCTGGTTTGGAGTTGGTTTTGTGTTTGTGCTTAGTGCACATTCTCAAACAGAAGTTCTTGTTCCAGCCCCTGGATTTGGGAGTGAAAGCTGCTGCTTTTAGTGATGGGAATTACTGAAATGGGGTTTGCAAATTACTCGACCTAGTGTGAGCAGTGCTGTATAACAGCTTGAGTACATCCACGTAGAATTTAATGGGATTTATTGAGAGTGGCAGAGCACAACTTATTGTGAAGAATAGTAATAAATTAAACAAAATGTAACCAAAAGAAAGAGAAAAAACCCAACAAAACACCCCCAATAAACCCTCCAGAATAAAAGAATTGGCTGAATCCCCTTTAGTTTTGTGCTGGCAGAATTATATTCTCTCTTTTCAAGCTCTAATCACCTTTCTTTGTTTTTGAAACTGGTATTTCCTTTACCCAGTGTAGTGTGTTGTCCACTTCTTTTTCAGTTTGCTTAATCTTCTTGAAAAAACTTGCATTTATCCTGCAGTAAATCCCCTTACTTAGTGCTTTGTAAAGTCCTTTGAGTTGCTGTGGAGTTGGGGGAGGGGTTCCTTGTGAAACGTGGGGGAAAGCAGAAAGACTGTCCAAGTCTTTGTTGTATTTGTGCAATGGCAATCTGCAGGCAGATCTCGGAATCTTACCCAGAGTTTGTAGATCCAGTTTCTCGTTCTGCTCCAAGTTAAACACAGTTTGTGCCAGAAAAGCTGTGCCTGATGCCCTGCAAGGCTCCTGCAGTCAGGCAGTTCCCTCTGGAAGCAGGAGGAGAGGTGTAAGGGGGCCCTGCTGCTCCTGGGACAGATGGATTTTCTCAGGAGGGAGAGAGGACAGTGGAGTATTGGCCTGGGGGTTGTGCAATAATCTCCCTTCTCCCAAGGGGCTTTGTAGGAAAAGCCTTTTTAGGAGCTGGTTGTGCATTCTTTTTCTGGTTGTTTTTAGAGACATGATCAATAGTGCTGCTGCTAAAGTCCTGTTTGGATCTGATTTATGAACAGCACAGGAAAACTGGGAATCACAAGGTCCCTTGTGTTTCTGATTGAGCCCTTTGTGATCTGTGCCTTGGGCTGAGTTAGACTTCTCACACCATTTGTGTAGAGATCCCAACCCCTTGCAGTAAAGGAGAAGGGAGCAGTGAGCAGCCAGCTGCTGTTCCAGTCAACACTGGTCTAAAACCAAGGCCTTCTGGAGGAATTATGTTAGAAGCAGAATTAATTCCAGCCAGAATATCTTCAAGGCACTCTAATCACTTAAAATACTACAGTCCATAGGATAGATGTGTTTATTCAGCTGAACTAATTCCTTTCCCCTCTCTCCTTCTGACATTTTAAACGTTTTATGTAGGTTAATTAGTCTAATTTATGGTAGTTGGAAACAACCCTTTATCAGAAACCAGTGAATGTCAGGACAGTTCACAAGCACAGGTTACTGATTTTGAAAAGTTTGTGCTCGAGGAGAACGTTGGGATTCCAGGGTCTTATGTAATATAATGGCTCTGGTTTAAAAAATAAAAATATCTTGGCTTGTGTAGTTTAAACATCTTCACTATAGGAAACCACATGTTTATGTATAATTCAAGTTACAGAGCTTTAATGTAGAAAATGTCTGCAGGTCAGTTTATTGTGTGTAATAGTTCTGACTGTAAAATCTGTCTTGTTAAGATTTTTTTTCTTCTTTATTAAACAATGCTTCAGTCAGGGAAGTCTTAAAATGGACTAAATATTTATGCAGCACAAGGAGAAATTCCTCACAGCTCTTGAGGAGTAACTGCAGAAGAGCCCTTGCCAGAGCCCCAGAGGAAGCTGCATTTTGTCCTGGTAAAGGCTGTGCTGGCACTGGGCACGGCTGTTCCTGCTCAGCTGAGGCTTTGAGGAGCAGAGCTCTGTATTCTGGGTGTAGCAAAGAAAGGGGCATGGGATACTTCTGGATTTGCCCATTTTGGCTGGCAAAGCTGGGTTCAGTCCATCAGCCCCACAGGCACCGAGGTACCCGTCCTTGGGAGGGTCACACCAAGCTTGGCTCCCGAGCAGCTGGGAGGGGCAGTGTCAGCTCTGGAGCTGGATCCTGGGCTGCCTCCTGCTTCCTTTTTCTTGTCTTAGAGGTGTTTCAGGGAAGGGGATTTTTGTGTTGGTAAAGATCTCTGAGGTGTGTTTCAGGTAAGCTTTGTTGGGACTGTGAGAGGCTCACAGACAGTTTATAAGAAAAAGATAATAGAGACCAGTGAGTATGTGGGGTTGAGATGGACTCCAGGATTGGATAATCCTGTGAGAGCTGCTTGAGATGTCGGGAGGGTGCAGAGAGGGGAGTTGTAGGATCAGGGTCCCTCTCCAATCCAGTACCGTAAGTGAAGAGGATGAAAACTGCACATGCAGCAATTTGACTCTGCCCTGATGCTGTTCTGGACAGACTCTGGGTGGAGAAAAGCTTGTGTAGTCAAATGTGAACTCCTGGATTTTGCTCTTTCTTGAACCATAAATTCAATGCTCACTAAATAGGATAGTTGTGATAATTATTGGACTTTGGGATTGATTTGTGTCTTGTTACCCCTGTGCTTATGTAAACTCCCATTTTCTGCCCTGGGCAGAGTCATCAGCAGTGTTACTCCTGGCTGCTGAGCTGGCTGGGTGGTGCTGAGCTTCAGGAGTTGTGTCCGTGGGGAGCAGGTCATGGTTGGCTGTTGGGATGCAAGAGAACCATTGTGAGCCATCACACACTCGGGGGCTCTTTGCCCAGTGCAAGCTGGTGCCTTTCCTCCCTCTGGGGATGTGCTGCACGTGCAGCCTGTCCAACATGGAAGTGTGAAATGCCTGATGCAGAGAGGTCAGCTCCAGGCTCACCCTGCCACTGCAGGGCAGAACTGGGCCAGGCTTTGAATCAGTCATGGGGGGAGTTCAGCAAAATCTGCTTTATTTACTTGAGAAACCTGGCAGAACCCTTCAGTGCTGGGAATGCTGCAGCCTCTCTGAGGGTTAACTTTGTGCCCCTCCCTGGTGCTGCTTTGTCACATTCTCAAAAGCGCTGACAGATAAAGAACTGCATCACTTGCAGTTAAAGCACCTGAATTTTTAACAGGATCGGTTTTGAGTGAAGCTCTTGAATCGACTTAATTTTGTTGCAGGAGTCATGGAATTAAACTTGCATTGACCATCATGCCCTTATCTTGTTGCTGGCTGTTGATTTTGTTTGGTTTGGATATTTTACATCCTTTGATAAGCTAAAATTGGATGTTGGGATACCTAAGTTCAGAATGCCTTGGCTGCAGGCCAGTTACCAGGGTCCTGGCCCACACTCACAGTCCTGCACCCATGCATTGTTTTCCTTGCCAGCACTTTGTACCCGTCCTTTCCTTGGGTGCAGCTCCCGCCGATGGGAGCGTTTCCATCTTGGCTTGCTCTCCGTGCCCAGGTCTGCCCTCCCTGGTGCCAGTGCCAGCCTTCCCACGGTGTCTGTCCGGGGTTCTGCTGGAAACCATCCCCGTGTGCTGAGCTGCCCAGGGCTGGGGGCTCCAGGGAATAACCGCTGGGAAAGCCGCTGGTCCTGGCTGCTGCTCCGCTCCTCCGCAGCCCTGCAACTCTAGAAGGCAGCGGCTGATTTTCCTTGGGAGGAATCCTGCCCCGAAATAGAGCTGGCAGCCCTGGGCCCCCTCCCACTGCTATAGGTCAGAGGTGTGCCTGGGACACTCCACCTGGCACTAAACGTGGGCAGACCTTTGTGTGGAGCTGGGAAGCAGATTCTGTGTCCCACCAGGAGCTGGACAAATGGGAAGAGGGAACAGGGCTGGGATAGGGAGCCAGCAGTGGTGACAGTGTGGGGCTTTAGGGATGTCTTTGCTTCTGAGCTTGGCTGTGACCCAGAGCCAGCTTCCATGTTAGAGCACTTTTCACTCCTCTTGTTCCTAAACTTTTTAATATCCAAAGTGCATTTTGGGTTTTTTGAAGGAGAAAAGGTAAATGAAGCCCACCCTACCCCGTTATCTTCCAGCCAGGCTTTTCCTGATGTGACAGAGCCTGGTCTGGTCTGGTCCGAGCATGGCTGGGTGGACACTTGGGTGGCAGCAGGGCCACCACACGTGTGTGACCTCCTTTCTCTCTGGCTCTGTCATGCACCAGCCCCTTGGCCTCTCTGAAGGCCTGGCCTGTCCCCTGTCTCTGGAGGATGGCAGGTAGGAACTGTGTTTGCCCATCATTCCTCACTGTGGAATTGGCACAGGGCAGTGTCGGGCGCTGCTGACTCGGGCTGAATTGAGCCCCGTGACCTGGACGCAGGAGGCCTCGTATCCCATGACTGAATCCTTCAGCCATCTCATCAGCCAGCTCTGGTTACAGGAGGTGCACTTTGGGGCTGTTTAGTTTGGTATTTGTGTTTACAGCAAACTGTGGGGTGTCCTGGGCACAGACTGGGTGCTGACAGGCTCTTTTTCCCTTGCAGTTCGCAGTGTTGATGTGGGTTTTCACTTATGTTGGTGCCTTGTTCAATGGTCTGACATTACTGATCCTGGGTAAGTGTTTGACTCGTGTTACACACCTGCCACACCAGATAACCTTGGGGAAAGCAGTGGGGTCTGGTCAACACTGGCAGGCTGATCCTGCAGCCTCAAGATTATTGCATTTTTAGGTTTTTGTGGGGGTTTTTTTGATAACACAACAGAATGGATAATTTTGAGTTGTTGAATTCCTTGAGATTGCTGATTTCCAGACTATTACATTGTTTACAGGCAGGTTTGTTGTGCCTGTCCCTGCAGGATCTGCTGTGACTGTGTCCCACTGCAGGATTTAATTTCTTATATCCCAGAGCAGGCTGGCTTCAGGTGTCAAAACCAACTGATGCCTGAGCAGCCTTTGGGAAGAATTTGCATAACCCACAGTGGAAAAGTGACCTGTGACCAGACTTACTGTACTGTTGCTGAGACCTGGAGAACAGCCCAGGCTTTCCTTAATAGGGATTATTGAATTTACTGGCCAACAATTGGTGCATGGGGCTTAGGAATTCATTTTTCTTGTACCTTTTTGCAAGACATATCAAGGTGTGGAAACCAGTCCTTGTTCTGCCTGAACGCCATCCCTGCTGTCAATATTTATATGTTTGTGCTCTTTTCCAGCTTTGATTTCGCTCTTCAGTGTTCCTGTTATTTATGAGAGACATCAGGTGGGTGTTTAATAGAATTCATTAAATGTTTCATAAAATCAGCTGTGTTGAAGCAAAACTAGAAACAAATAATTCAAATTAATTTCAGTCTTCTGAAATATTTAAAGCCTTTAAAAACAGGCCTTTACCCAGGTGCCAGGGAAGGCTAGTTTAGTTTGAAGCTCAGACTCTGTGTGCTTTCCCTTTTCCTTCTTGGTGTGGAAGAAGAGGTTTCCACAGAAAACTGTTCTGGAAAAGGCCTGATAAACTTGGAGGCCTTTTCTGCTGGTCCAGCTTTGGTCAGGACTTGGAGCAGCACTGGGCATGGTGTGTTGTTAATCCTGCTGTACCTTTTGGAGTTGATATTCAGGATTGGCTTCCCAAAGCTCTGTGGAATTTGTAGCCCTGGCAAAAACAGGAGGTGGGAGCTGCTTGGCCCAGTCCAGTGCTGCTCTTGGGGAGAGACTCCCGTGTAAAAGGAGGAGGGAGGAAGGAGCCAAAGTAAAATGCTTTTGATTAAATTATGGCCAGGGCTGTCTTGGGCAGGTCACTGCACAGGAGCGGGGGGAGCCAGCTCTGGCTCAGCCCTCCTGTCTCCCCTTTCAACAACAAGGCTGCCGTGGGGGGAGGCAGGAGCAGATGGTGGAGCCTCATGGGGCCTGGCCAGGCTCCTCCTCCACAGGGAAAGGCAGCCTGGAGCCCCGAGGCAGGAGCATGGATGGGTGTGGGGCTTAGCCTGAGCTGCAGCCTAAGCTGGTTACCCAGCCCAGCCCAGCTAAGCAGCTTTGCTGCTCTCTGGGGCCCAGAGGGGCCTGGCCCCACACCCACAACTGGGCCTTGACAGACCCGGGAGAAGCCAGGGATTGAGTCCTTTGGGGCTTTGCCCACCGTGCCTCCTGGTGGGTGCGTTCCTGGAGTTCTGGAATCCCACTGGGAAATAGCCCTGGCTGAGCTCCTGCTTCCCCCAGAGCTCTGTGGGACTCAGCCAGGCTCTGACTTGTGTGTGCTTCAATTGCAGGCCCAAATTGACCATTACCTGGGACTCGTGAACAAGAACGTCAAAGATGCCATGGCAAAGTGAGTTGGTTTGGTTTTCTTTATTTCCCTTAGTGCTGATGACAGCTCCTGGCACATGTGGTGCTCCTGGCTAGGACTAATGTGTTCTTCCATGTGCCAGGCCAAGGAGGGAAAAGGTCTCTAACTCTGGACTGGGTGGGAAATGAGCTCCTTCATTGCTGGTGCTGTCCAGAAATGAGCCTCTATTATTTCTAATAGAAATCTGTGTATTCCAACCCCTTAGTGATACCTGAGCCCTCAGCAGGTGCAGTTGAGGGGGGGAATGAGTTCAGCAGTTCCACTGGGCTCTGGGTACAAAGCTGTGTTGAGAGTTCTTTTGCCATGTTGCTGTGTCTAAGACTCCGTTTAACCTTTTCTTTTTTCCTGTTACTCAAATTTAGTTTTGTCTTTCTTCCTCTTGCAGGATCCAAGCAAAGATCCCCGGGTTGAAGCGCAAAACTGAATAAAAAAAGAAGCCTGAAGCAACTTATCAATAGGAAGTTCATCTTTTAAGGGGGAAAAATACTCATTGGATTTACACGGGGAGGGTCAGGGAATAGCAAACCCCTTGACATTGCAGTGCAATTTCACAGATCTTTATTTTTTAGCAACGCAGTGTTTGAGGAAAAATAACTGTTTTGACTGCCATGTGTTTCATCATCTTAAGTATTGTAAGCTGCTATGTATGGATCTAAAACTAATCATCTTTCCTTATCCTGTGTGCAGCACTGGCTAATACAAACGACTGAGACAGCTGTACATTTGCTTCATCAGAGGTAGTTCCTGCTGCGTTCCGGAGGTGTAGAGCAGGTGGGGCAGAGGAGAACACTTCCCAGTTTGTGCACTGTGTATGGTCTGTGTAGATTGATGCAGATTTTCTAAAATGAGATGTTTTAGAAGAATATACCAGTTTAGCAAGTTTTGAAAAATCTTGCCTTTTTGGTATGAGTATAGCTGTATTGTGATTTTATTGTTTTATCAATTGCCAATATATATATATATGTGTTTCACAAAGCTTAGATCTTTCAGCTGCTCCACAGTGCTTTGTATGTCAGAGAACTGACTGAGGCCTGGACGAGCTCCAGAGCACACAAGCTTGAGAAACTAAAAAGTCTCTGTAAACACTGGCATCTGTTGGAACCAACAAAAGAGAAAAGAACAAAGAACCTCCACCTAGAGTAAAAGAAAATTACAGCATACACTTTGTTGCACAAACGTACAGTAGTTGATCTTGAGCAAATACTTCTCCAGCTCTCAGACTCTGATAACTGTGGACCGAGTATCTAATGCTGCAAATGTTGTTTGGAAACTTAAAGCCCTGTCCTGTTATGCAAGAAATGATAAGTGAAAATTTATACACTTGCAGTTTGAGCTGTACTGAACTAAGTCTGTGGAATGCATTGTGAAATGTAAAAAAAAAAAAAACCAACAAAAAAGCAAAAAAAAACCCCAACAACCAGCCCCAAAACCCCAAGTATCAATAAAGCTTATAGACATAAAATAATACCGGTATTTGGCTTTCTTGAGGCAAGTTTAATCTATTTGTGTTTATTTGAAGTTCATTGTGATAAATATCCATTGTCCATGGTGGTGGCAGTAGTGTCCGAGTAGAGCGCGGTGCAGGGTGGGTTTGTCACGGTCCCTTTTCTTTCTCTGCACTGGGAAGGAGTTGCTCAGGGCCAGCTCCAGAGTCCCAGGGAGCTCCAGAGGGTGTCAGGTTCTTGGATTTTTAGACAGGAATGGTGGATGCCTTTTTCAAGTTTGAAGGAAATAAGTCCCAATAATCTTTCCAGGTCAACGTGTTGATTCTGATTGAAGAGCTGGACATTGAAAACTTGTGTACAAATTTATTTGAGATGCAGATTTTAAATGAATGGCATCTTGACCATTGAAAAATAGAAATTCATGCATTAATATTTCAGTTTACAGTAAAATACAGCATTACTTCTGAGCATTTTATACAGGAAGCCAGACCATAGAAACATACAAACCGTAAGTAAGTGGTTTCCTGACAGACACTATTGCTTGAAGATATTTCTCACATCACTGTTGATTAATTCATTCTGCCACGCAACTGGTTTTATTTGGGATACAATCAACGTGGAAGGAAGGCAAACATGAGTGGTTACAACACAGGCAGAGGTGCTCACTGCTGGCACCACCTGACAGAACAGGATTTGATCCCGAAGGTTTCTTTAAAAAACAGACTGCATAGGGACTCGTACTGTGTATCTGACAAACTGCTCTGCTGTATAGTCATATAAGGCATTAATAAATTCAATTGTAAAAAAAAGGTGATTCTTTGAGGTTGCTGAAGCACTTTGTGTGTTAAACAGACAGGAATCCACTCCTTTAATGGGATGTTTTTGCTACTTTTCTATGCAGTGGGCAGCAGAAACGGACTGGCAGGAAGGTTCCAGAATTCAAAAGCCTATTGTCCTGCACTGGGACTAAGCACTATTGCTTTTCAGAGACTAAATGTAAGTCTAAATGTTTTACTTTAGCCTTTATTTCTTTCAATTAAGAAATTCAAATTATTTCAAAATATGGATGTTGATCCATGCCCAGAATCTTAAGTATCTTAAATACATATTTTGACATTGCCCATATTTACTATTCCTTTTTAAACTTCCTCCAGTTCCACTTTTTGAGTCCTGTGAGTTTTTTGTTTTGACAAGATATTCTAACAAATAGTGAAGGGCTTGAGTTGCCTTTTGGGAATATCTGTCCATGGTTCCAGTTCCCCACGGAGGCAGCTCTCCTTTGCTGTCCCTCAGGCCTAGGGGCTCTGTGGGGTGAGGGAGAAGCAGGGACAGGAACCCAGAGTCAGCCAGGAAAAGCTTTTCCCAAAGAAAACAAAGGTGCATTTCCTGGTTGCAGGGGATTGATGTTGTGCTTACAAGCAGCACAGACTGGCTGGAGGGCACACGTGGCCCTGCTCTGGGGACATTGCAGGGATTCCTTTGGAGGCTTAGGATGCCCCCCCAGAACTGGAAATAGGAACTGATGGAGGCTTTCCCACCAGGCCGAGATTCTGGCTGGCCACTGCCTGTAGGAGTGTAAAGCACATTTTCCCAGAAACGGGGAGCATGCAGGAACACTTGGGGAATGACTCCTCAATCTTGGTGTTAAAATCTCTTGAACCAAGTCTGTCCAAAGGCTCTCCTCTCACTCACTGCTGGAGTTGAGCTTGCACTGCTGGCTGCAGGAGCAGCTGCCCAGGAGCTGCCATCCCTTTTTGGCCTTCTGCCAGCACAGAGCCGCTCGCTGTCGGAAACACGGGCAGTTCACTTGTGAAGGAATTAAAAACCCAAAGCAGAAACCAGGGATAATGTAAGTACCCAGCTGGAAAAGGTGAGAATGGTTTAGCCCTCCTCTGGGTGAGAGTCATAGCACCATGTGTGAAAAGCAGGTGGGGGAGGCAAGGCTGCAGCCCAAACTACTAGAAAATTATTCCAAGGCACTTCATGGATAGAAAATTCTGCCAAATATATATATTTAAAAATAAAATGGACTTAAAAAAAAAAGGATACTTTGCTCCTTCAATTAATGAAAGCTGAAGGATGACTTCCCCCCTCCCCAGCCTGCTGTTAAATCCTCCCAGCTTTACTGAGTGCACCAAATTGGAGTTTTAAAGAGGTGTGGTTAAAACCCACCCACTTTTTGAACTTTGTTCAAGCCACAAATTTGGAAATTAAAGGGCCCAGCATTTTGTCAGCGTTTTCTCCCTTTTCAGACACGGTTTGAACAACACAGTATTAGGCAGAAGCAGCTTTGTGAGTGAACTGTTCATCCCTTTGGGATCCCCAGGTTACCCTTCAGACCTCAGCTTCCTTCGCAAGGGCGTTGGGCTTTCCAACGCCAGCTCCCATTCCCTCTCGCTAAGTTGGGATGAGTGATCTGGAAATGTCAGCCTGCAACAGGGCTGGGATTCCTGCAGCCCCAGGGACATTCATTCCCTCGCTGGGGCAGGACAGCAGCAGCCAGGGGCTCCTCAGAGACAGCGCCACACAAACACACTGTGGAGACAGGAGGAGAGCAGGGATTGGCCTTTGGCACAGCCCAGGGAGCCAGGAAAGTAAACACACCGGGTGTGGGGAGTACAGACTGTGTGTGTGTGGCTGCAGTGTGAGCACTGTGTGTGCTGTGTATGTGGGAACTGTGTGTGTGCGACTGAGTGTGCTGTCTCTGTGTGTGCTCTGTGGGCAGTGTCTGCACTGTGTATGTGTGTGCTGTGCCTGGCTGTGTCTCTGTGTGTGTCTGAGTGTATCCGTGCGTGTGCACTCTGTGTATCCATGGCTGCTGTGTGTGTGTGCATTCTGTGCACTGTGTAAGTGCAGTGTGTGTGTGGGATGTATCTGTGTGTGTGCAGTGTGTACACGTGTGGCTGTGTCCCCATGTGTGTGCACACACACGTGTGTGGCTGTGTGCCTTTCTCTGGGTGTATCTCTGTCTGTGTGTGCGTGGCTGTGTCCCTTTCTCTGGCTGTCTCTCTGTGTGTGTGTGGCTGTGTCCCTTTCTCTGGCTGTCTCTGTGTGTGTGTCTGTCCCAGTCCCAGCCCCGGTTACCTGCAGTCGTCCCCTCCGGTGCTCACCACGAACTTGTCGTCGTGTGAGAAGCGGATGTTGGTGACGTGCGCTGAGTGCCCAAAGTACCGCTTGTGTTTGGCCTGTGGGACAGGAGAGCAGCTCAGGGCTGGTGCCAGGCACAGTCTGTGCCCCCAGCCATCCTGAGCCCGAGGCCTTTTCTCTCCTGGGAGCTGCCTGTGGATGGGCCATGCTGGTTGGGTGCTGCAGGAGCTGCCTGGGGCACAGCCCGAGCAGTCTGGATGCCGTAGGAGCTTCCTGAGGATGGCCCACGCTGCTTGGGTGCTGTGACAGCTGTGCCCAGGGGTTGGGGAAAAGCAAAAGCTGCTCAGGTGAAAATCAAACAGGCACTTACAAATTTCTCCGTGCATGGGAAGTCAAACAGCTTGACCAGGCCGAAGTCATCTCCTGTGACTATGTTCAGGCCAGCGTGGGTCACACAGGCACAGTTGACATCTGCTTTATCTGCATTTCGTGGCCAGATCCCAATGACTTCATCTCCAAGAATGCTGTCCAAAATCAAGGTAAATAACATGTATTAGACCATAAGACTTAAAGCCAACACAGGTCAGTAATAAGAAATTGCTGCATTTAAAATAAAAATGTCCCCTCTAAATGACTGGCCTGGGCTCATCATGGAGACCGTCACACATACAGCATTTTTATGTGATTCTTAAGCAATCTCTATCCATTAATCCTTAGGTTTATTTCCCAGGAAACACTGGCATCATTCTACACCAGCACCTTGTGCAGCTCTGGTCTTCCTCTGGGATTTCTGACTACACTGTTCCTTAGCCATGAGTTCCTGACTGAGGGAATGCTTGTTTGCATATCCACTTGTTCTCAGAAATAGCTGTTCTGCCCTGGCTTCAGTTCTCTGTAATCATTTACCCACAGAGTTACAGCCAGGGGCATCTGCCCCCTCCTAGCAGCTGTCAAGAGTCCTCTGAAATGGTGAATTTGGGGCAGATTTTTGTGCCAGCAGCGCAGTTAGAGTAGGAGGATTCTCATTTTACCTTCTCCTAGCCCTGCCTGGTTCTCACCCACTGCCAGCTCTGCCTTTGGCCTGTCCCACTTCTCGCAGGCGGAGCACAGCCACAGTTCTGCAGTGCTGGGAGCAGATTCCTGTGTGCATCCACATCAGGAACTGTTTTAATGACACAACAATCAAATGTTTCCAGGCTTCCATGCTGCTGGTGTTTGCTGATGTGGGACAAAGCTGCCTGGAGTGGCCCAGAGCCGTGTGAGGGGCCTGCCATGAGTGGCAATGAGCCACTGTGGCTCTGTGACAGCCCCTGGTGTAGTTAGCAGCACCAATTACCGCAGACACCGAGCAGCCACGGCTGTGTGTAAAACCCAGGGGTGTCAGAGCTCTGAGGAAGCAGAGGCTGGGTGTGCTCCCAGGTTTGCCAGGCCCTGGGGACGTGTCAGCACCGACACAGCCAAAGCTGGGAGCTGGCCCCACGCTCCTGTCAGGTGTTACCTGGTCCACGTGGCCCAGGTGATTTTCTCTATGACTGCAGGGTCTGTGATTTGCTTTCCCAGTGGCACCTCGTGAACTTGACGCTTGTAGGCACCTGTGGATACCTGAAAGTGGGAAAGGGAAAAACTGGAAACTCTGCTATAAATACATCATTTTCTTCATGAGTTCCAGCAGTCTTAACAGGTTTTATCATAAATTAACCATCTAGCATGACATTATCTTTTTTCCTCATTATCTGGAATTCATCACGTGCCCTATAAAGAAATAACAAAGTTACAGGATGATGATGGAAGGAGATGTTCACGTGCAGAGCTGACATATTTTCTCTCCTCTACTTTATCTCAACCTAATTTTACTAAATCAGAAACATTTCTGAAGGAAACCTCTTCAAATCAACAATTTAATTAAAACAAATTAACCCAGCTCTCACACACATCCCAGCCTCAGGGAGGAAGAGAACTGCTTTCATATGGTTATAATCCACAATTTGTGTTTAGCATTGTTCCCATTCCATTGATGTAGGGTGATGCTTTGCCGTTAGCACAGCTGGAGTGCTCCAGGGGCTATCCCAGACATACCTGGATGTACCTGCTGTCTGCAGAGAAGTCCATCTGTATGACAAAACTGGCAATGTCCTTGCAGTAGCCAATTCGGTTTAGGGTTGTGCCTTGAGTGAGATCATAAAAATCCACAGTATGTTCTTGTGAGCCCACTGCCAGAAACCTGTTATCTGGACTGATCCTAGACAATAAAACGTGGGGTGGGATGTCACTGGCTGGTTCAGTGCAAGATTTGCATTTGCTAATGTGACAGTAACTTTTTTTTAATGGAAAACACAAAAAACCTATCAACAGCAAGACTGAGCCCAACCCCAAACTTGATGCTCAAGAGAAGAGGAAGACTCAGGATATCTCTGACAGAGGACAGGGTTAGATGAAATTTTGGGAAGGAATTGTTGCCTGTGAGGGTGGGCAGGCCCTGGCACAGCGTGCCCGGAGAAGCTGTGGCTGCCCCTGGATCCCTGGAAGTGTCCCAGGCCAGGCTGGATGGGGCTTGGAGCAGCCTGGGATAGTGAAAACGTCCCTGCCCATGGCAGAGGGTGGGATTGAATAAGCTTTGAGGTCCCTTCCAAGCCAGCCCATTCCATGACTCTGTTCTATATTGTCTGTGGTTAAATGATGTTCATGTTGCACTCCCATAAAGCCACAGCATGGAGTGTGCAGAGTGACAGCAATCCTCTTGGAGTCAGCAACAGGAACTGCAATCTGCAGAATTCATTCCCATAATTACAGCTGTGCAGTGTGGCTGTAACTGAATTAAAACACCACCACAGTGCCCTTCACCAGCTCTCACAGCTTTCAACTCACACAGGCTTACAAAACCTCTGCAAATCCACTTGGCACTCGAAGGCCGTTTCCTCGAGCCTCGTGTTTTGAGCACCTCCTACCTGATGTCCTGAATTGCAGATTTCCTGTCCCTCTTCTTGCCCCAGACCTTGAGGCTGTTGACCAGCAGGACGACGAACTCTCCGTTCCTCATGCCGATGGCCACCATCTCGCCGTCGGGGCTGTAGGCGGCGCAGCGCGCGGGGTGCCCCAGGCTCACCTTGTTCACCAGCTTCTGCGGGGACACACGCAACAGGCTCACACCTCCCCAGCACACGGACAGCTTCCAAACACAACGTGTATGAAACTTGCTTAATTAAAAACAAATCGTCTCTGTTTCCCTCTAAACAGAAACCTGAAATGTCACACCGAGACTCGCATCCCACCAGGCATATGTCGCTAGGCAGACTTCAAAATAGAGATGTGATTCGGATGGGGGGTTCATGTTTGCATTATTTTGTAGACTGACATCCACTTTCACACCAGAAAAAGGACTTTTTAGCAGGAGCTGAAAAATCTATTTCCTAATTTGTTTCAAGGGTGGCTTTGACACCTTCAACAAACTGCTGATTGGCACAGAGCTTTCCAATTCCAAACGCCCTAGAAAGTTCTTGGATTTTCACCTAGCTGGTTGTATTTATAATATATTCGTTTTTCTCATTCAATTAGTTCCTGATAGCTCAGGTAACAAGCTTTTGAAAAGGTTTATGCTGGCCAAAGTGAGCAGAAACATTTTTGGTGGGTTTTTTTTTTCCAAATGTTTTATTTGTTGTTTTTAAAAATGGTTGTTAGTCAATTTGGCTTGGAAAAATCCCTGAGGCAACATGCAGAGTTCCAAAGGAAGGCTCTGAAGGGGAGGGAGCCGTGCCTGCCAGGAAGGCAGAATGATGGCCAGGGGCTGTGTGTGACAGCACAGTCTGTGTCACCCAGACTGGCAATGTGGAACTAAAACGCTTCCTTGGTCCCCCAGGCTGCAGATTTAGATCACAATAAGCGATGCCCATCAAGAGGCACTCCATGTGTGTGTGCTGGTGAGTCCCTGCATTCCTCTGGGAGTGATGGCTGTGGGACACCTCTCCTGCACCAAGGATTCACCTTCACACTCACAGCAAGGAAAGAACTGGGGCCAAACAAAGCCAAAACCTGCTCAGGACAGAGGCAAAACCCTGCTCTCATCATTCCAGAGCTGCTCAAAGGCACAGCTGGAAAATTGTGTGCTTGGATAAAATGTTCCTTTGTAATCGCCCTCTCTTACATTCATGGTACTCACTTTGTCCGACAGGTCCCAGATCCTGGCTGTTCCGTCATTGCTTGCAGAGATAAATATGTCTTTGGAGGGGTGAGTTGCCAAGCCCCAGATTTCCCCTTCCATATGACAGTCAATTAACAAGTTTGAAGCAGCATTTTTTTCTCCTACTTCAAGGATTTCTCCATCTTTTGTTCCCACTAAGATTTTCCCCTGTTTGTAGGCAAAGAAAAGGAGTGGAGAGAGGTGGTCAGTGTAGCAGGAACTGCCATGGTCTAAACTGCCACAGCTTCCTTGGCAAATACTTGGAAATGCATGAACAGATTAAGTCTGTAATTGGTTAATGGCTGCTTGATTGGAAAGATAAAACAACATTCCTCAGAGGTGGTGTTATCAAGGAATGTGTCGGATTCCTGGACAAAATGCAATAGAGACAACTAATAACGGCTGGGAGGTGCCATCCTGTGCAGCATCACAGCTCCTTTCTCATTTACAATTCAAACACATGCAAGCGTGACTGCAGCAAGTCAAATCACTCTGTAATTTCCACTTTACCAAAACTCACGGCCTCCCAGTAACTCCCAGTGGGGGTTTTGTGGCTTTAAAGACCAGAGAGAAGCTCAGGGAAGCAGCTGAGGCCGCTCCTCACCTTGCCCCGGCACACGGAGCGCACGCACTCGATGAGCTGCCCGGTCTCCAGCTGGAAGGCTCGGCACCGCTTCATCTCCTGGTCCCACAGCTTCACTGCTCCTCCCTCCTTCGTGCTGCAAAGGAGGCTTGCTCTTACCTGCAGGGCTCCTTGACACACAGACATCCCAACAGCATTTTTCTACTTGAATCACAAAACATACATTGACCCACCCTCCACTCCATATCAGGACACCTCGTTATGGTGCAATGGGAAGTAAATAATAAAACAATTAAATGCTTTCACACTTCATGTTTTAAACAGCACTGTGATCTGTACAAACCAAACTGTTGTTTCTCCTGCCACTAATCTCAACTCTCTGTTTCTTGTGGTAATCCCAACACCTGCAGCATCTCCACAGGGAAAGGCTGTCTGTAGCTTGACAGAACAAAAGAAGGGAACTCCACTTATGGCAGGAGCTCAGGCAACGAGAGCTTATCCAGGTGTTTGGATCAATCCCAAAGAGGTTCAGTGTGGCCCTGCTGCAGAACTTGTGCCACTGTGGCCTTCAAGTGTCCTCCTTTAGTCCTTCACTTACTGAGCCACCTGGGCAGGTTATGCAAAACTGAGAGTGAAACAGCTACAGCATAGAGACTGTTAATCTCTGGGGTGCTGGATAGACAATGAAAACAAAAACCACACAAGAGAGACAGAAGTTGGGCACTTTAGGAAGATCCTGTGTCTTACGGCCTCTCCTTCCCTCCAGTGACAATGAGCCCGTCCCGCAGAGTCGTGTACATGGTGAACACTGGTCCCGTGTGAGCCTTGGCCACCAGCCTGACCAGGAAATGATCCTTCCACACGTACACATCTCCATTGATGGCACCAGTGAACGTGAGGTTATTCTGCAACAGACAGCAGCAATCTCTGATACAACACACACCTCGGCATTTTTGATCAGCTTCAAGTCAAATTCTTTAAATGAAATTTAAAAGTCCTTAATGACCACACTGGGTTGTCACCACTGGTGGTATCACGCTAAATACCATTAGCAAAAAAATGATACGTGAAATAACAGATCAGAGTTTAAATTAAACAGATAAATAACCAGCAAAGTTAAAAAAAATACAACAAAACCAAAAAAACCCCAGGGTAGTAGGTGTGCACAAAACTTAATAGAAAACATCCACCCAGTTGTGCTCAGGAAATTCAGGGAAGCATCTCAAGGTGCACAAGTTTTAAATCCACATTTCACTAACAAGCACTGGGTTGGATTTCAGCAAAGAAAACTGACCCTTACAGGTTTAATACAAAGGCAATGTAAAATCCTGTAGCAGGTAATTTGAACTCACTGCTCCAAAGGCAACAGAGAGCATGGTTTGCATTTTGGCATCTTCCATGGAACCAATGACTCCTTTCTTGTAGAGCAAAGCGCTGCCAGCCAAGGTCCAGAACTTCATGTGTTTGACCCCCACGGACACGAACTGAGTGTCAGAATCCGGGCGGAACTCCACAACAAAGATCCTCTCCAGGTGTCCTCCCCTGCTGGCAACTTTAGCCCCTGGTTTCATCAGGAAAGGATAAAAACAAAGTTGAATTTACCTGAGGAATTAAGCTCTGATATGATTTTGTCAATTAAATTGAGCTGGTATTGGATTGGAGATCCCATATGCTGAAAGCTGCAAATCCCAGCACTATTTAGTGTATCAAACATCTTAATGCAACTCCCAAAGTCCCTGGTTATTCCATTGCACCCCACAAATTTAGGAAATGCAGATTTGAGGCCTTCACAGCACAATCTGTCTCCTGGGTCAGTGAAATAACACAGAAATGTTGGCTATCGTCTGGTGAAAAATGCACAGTGACACTCTAATGAGCTGAGGCACTTTTCCTCCCCCCTCCACCATTTCCAAAGATAATGCTTTTCTGGAATTACTTCCCAAAGGTCTATCTCCATCTCAGTACTTGAAGTGTTTTGGGAAAGAAAAAGAAACATTTTCCTTAATTTTGTGTAATTTTATGTTAAGCATCATTCTTTCCTTAATTTCCACTGACAACAGGTGTTTACAACTTATCTTCCTGTTCATATTTTCTAGCCCTTTGCCATCTTTAACTGATTAACTGGGATACTCAGACTGAGGACACAAAAGTCCAAAGGCTTGAAAGGCAAAGGCAGTCATTGTGCACAGCTCTGTTAGGCTGAAGAAATGTGATTTCCCCCTGGTTTTTACCTTCTTGCCACCTCCAGACGGTGATGGTGTGTTCTGGGTCAACTCCCACTGACACCAGAAGTTTGCCAGTGGCACTAAAGTTCACGTAATTGACCCCTTTGGTGTGGAAGCAGCGCAGCATGGAAAGGGTTTGCTTGCTCATGGCATCCCATATATGAATTGTGGGGGTTGTACCTGCGGGCAGAGGGAGGCAGAAAAACACAATGAATTCTGGAGAGCTTCAGTGCAAAGCAGGCATTTTTCAAGAACATTTAACCTGGACAGACATTAGTTGGGGGGGTTGGATTTGTTTGAAGATTAGCACTACTGGGAAACAAAGAGAAACCAAAATAGCTCGCAAAACACAGGGAGGGAATCATTGTAGTCCATGAAGTCAGACAAGTTCTAAAAGAACAACGTAACATTCATGAAGAGCCTCATGCAAAAGAAATTGCCTGCAGATGTTTCACTTGTATCCATGGTTCACACAGATACAACGAGGCAACATGGAACTCGTACAGGACTCTGCTAAATTCACAAACAAATCAGCCTTACCTGGGAATTCTGTCATGTCACCTGCATTGTGAGAGCAATGGCAAATGAGGAAGCACCAAGGGAAAACAATAGGTGAAATAAGTCATGTGACTCGTGCTGAAGTGCCAGCATCAGCACCAGAAGGAAAACAAAATTAAAAACTTGGGAATGGATATGGATTAAATCAACAAAACAAAGAAGCAGGAATATTGTTGAACTTTTTTGGGTATATCGGCTTTTATACACAAATATTGCAACAATATTTAATACTTTTAAGTTTTAAAAATGGTATCTAAAAGAAATGTTAAAGGCATGCAGGTTTTAAAAAGTGTTACATTCAGAAGTGAAGTGATTCTCGAGTTATACCAAGTATCACCCAAACTCAGAAGCACTGATCTCCTGAGGCCTAGAAAAGGGCCTTTAGCCTTTTCCACATCAAAAATGAGAGTTTTGCACAGCTCTGGCACCCCAGAGCAGGTTTGGGTGCTCCCTCCTCATTCCAGCTGCAGTGACCGTGCTCAGGACAGGCAGCAGAGGTTTGTGTTTGGCACTGTGTTCATCACTACCATTCCCTGCCCCTGCCCTCAAGGTATGGATTCCATTCTCCTTCTGGAATGGGCTGAGGAGACGTTCTGACCCCGCTCTCCTCCATAAAGGAAATTATTCCAGCATTAGGCTGAGAGGCAGCAGATCCTTCTCAAGGCTTGGGACAACTCATCCTGCATTCCCCATGGAATGTGTGCTCCTGCAGGACTCTGCAGGTAAATAATAAACACACAAATACACGTGGTTTCTCAGCTGGCCCCTGGGACGTGCCCTAACCTCTGCTGGGATCTCTCTCTGTTCCTGGCCTTTTGTGTACAGCTCCTGTGTTCCTGCAGAGGAAATGATGCTCAGTGTATTCTCACTGCTAAACAGTGCCTTGAACACAAGAAGGAAAAAAAGAATTCTATAAATCAGATTATTGAGATGGTTAGGCAGTTTATCAAAGCTTGCCTTCTGAAATATGATTACACTACAATTAACTCTAAAATCCAATCACAATCAGAAAGGGAATTGAAATAGTAAGAAAACCCTGGAGCTTGATTACTTCTTCCAAATCAAAGAAAAAGTAAAATTCCCCCACAGAAAAGCCCCAAATAAATCAGTGCCCTGAAAAGAGTGAGGAAGGTTTGCCGTGGGGGTCACGTACCGATCTGGCTGGTGGCCACCACGTTCTTGTACTTGGGGTGCTGGTTCACCGTCAGACACAGGATGTCATCAGTGTGCTCCAGGTAGAAGCTCTGGCTGCCTAACAACATCCAGAGAGGATTTCAGTCACCACAGGGAAGGGTCACCACAGAAGCCCAGAGTGTTTGGGCAGCCTGGTACAAACTCTGCTGGGGAGGAGGGGCCGCTAAGGCTGCCCTGCTCTCACCCCCAGGCACCGCTCCCGAACGCACTGTGCACACAACCATCAGCACACACAGTGGTGGGTACTAAAGCAATATCTGGGAAATGATCCACCCAGCCAGGGAATCAGCCCACAGCCACCAAAGAAACACCAAAACTGCCGATGCAAGCCCAGGTTTCCCAGTGAAATCCCAGTGAGGGGGGAAACAGAGGGGAGGACAGATGGGGTCATCCTTGTTTCCCAGCCCACAGAGGCTGTCCTAGGACTGGAGTCCCCAAAGGCCACCTACAGTGGGTTTGTGCTACTTATCAGGATGAAAAATATGAGAAAGTCATGGGAATATTAAAAAGTTCAGACTTGTGGTCAAAACCATTTTCCTTATAAAGCAATTTTATCTCCAAGTACTGTTTCAAGTGGAATTACCAGTGGAGAGGTTTTGGACAATGCCTGCTGCAGCTGTGTGGAAAATAATGTCAGCACCATCGTTCAGGTAATGGAGGTTGTTGCGACAGTCAAATCCTCTGTATCCAAACACATGGTCTAAAGCCAGCTCCTGGCCCAGGAAAACAAAGAGAACAAGAGTGAAATGAAAGGGAAAACAAGGGGATTTCAGAGTCTGGACCACTCAAGGACAATTTTAAATGACACAAGTACAAATATCTTGTAGAGGCAATAGAATAACAAAACAATAATTAGTTATCCCCACTCTGCTCGTTTATTGAGGCATAACATTATCAGAGGCTATCAACAACTTTTAATTGGTCACCTAAAGCACTGCACTTATATTATTTTCTTTTTTAATTACTCAGAGGGCTATAAATGTTCCAGTTCTTTAAATTTCCATTCCAAACAGATACAACTCACAGAACATGTTTGATTTTATTGCTCTTCCCCTCACAGTTTAATATTTATATAGGCTATCAGGTATTTTAAAGAAGCCATCTGCAGAGTTTTCAAAAATCATTCTCATAAATTACCAAATTTCCACAGACCAAATTCTGACCTTAAACTCCTTCAAGGAAGCCAGGGCAGGCTATAAGTAACTCTGTAATTAAGACATTAATCAAAGGTGTAATTGCAGCTTACAAGGAGCAGTTGCCAAGGAAATTTCCTGCAGGAACCCAGGATGGTTAATGGATTGCTGTCAGAGCTGCCTTGGAGCCCTGAAGCCAGACTTAATGACTGTCCCAAACACAATCACAGCTCACTGGGAACAATCCCAATTAACCACAGACCAAGTGGTGCAAATTGTCCACACAGGTCACAGAGTATTCCTTGTTCTGCACATTATCAGGGACTTCAAACAAGTTGTTTGGGGAGAAGTTCCAAAGTCAGTGAGCAAATTCCAGCATTCAAAACCCTGCACAGGACTTTTCCTGGGCCAAAGTGCTGCTTCTGGATGTATTTCCCTTGGGACTGAGCAGGGAGCATGGGAATGCACACACTCTGTGATTGTATCTGCCCTTCACTGAGAGACAAACCAGGGATGGATTTCACCCAGCACATGTTACTTACAAAGAAATTTGATAAATATTAATCCTCACCTCAACCAGTTTCTTTTTTTTGTTGACATTGTTCTTCTGCAGTTTCTCAGGCTGAGGAGCAGCTCTGCTCACGGGTGGCCTGAAAAGAACATTTAAGAAAGGAGACAATCAATATGTTTGAAAGTAAAACACAGTCTTCAAAACCACAGCACATGTGAGCAGCAAATGGACAGTTGCCCCTGTATGATTTTTTTCAGGGTTGTACAATAAACTGATTAAAATCCTGCACTTTTGGAAAGAAAGAGCAGAAACATTGATGTAGACTTTGTGGATGAGTGGCAGAACAAACAAAAGACCCCAAACCATAATGGTTTAAAACCATGGAAAAATCCTTGAATATGAAATGATGGCAAATTGGTGCTTTCAGAAATGATCTGAAGCAATTTCTGCAGCTGGCAGTTGACCTCTGCCCGGCCTTGCTTCTTCTGAGAAACCCCATCCCAAAACCTTGACATGGCTTCAATAAAATCTTCTCAAAATCATATTAAAGATAAAATGGTTGCATTTAAATGCACAAGTCATTCATCCAAGGGAATTTGGGAGACTGAGGCCAGCAAAGCTTTTTGATATAATTATAGTTGCTAAAAGTAGCTGAAGAGACAAATGCAGAACACGGGCTGAGACAAAATCTGATGTGTGCAAATGGTCTGTAAGGCCACGTAACCTCTGCTGCTGCTGTTGATCCTGCTGGGAAAAGAGGGACAGAGCTAAGGGGAGCACTTGGAAAGCATTCCCAGAGTTTACAATTCCAGTAAAATGTGACCTTGCAATTACATTCCACATGCTGTGAAATTTGTTCCCGTCCCAAGACCGTAACTACCAGTAATTCCCATTTTGCAAAAAATTAATTGGAGAAGAATGAAATCCCTTTTGTGTATAGGGAGCTGCTTCTTCTGAAGCTGGATTTTTCATGGAAGGTGTTAAAGGCACGGTGGGCAGAGCCCTGTGGGATTGAGCAGCAGGACAACCCGAGCTCTGAGCCAGCAAAGCTGGAGGTCACCAGCCTAACCCACGTCCCAGGCACACAAGGACCAACAAGCACATCAGCAGGTGAGCCCACGACACAAAGAGAGTGAAAGAATTACCTTGATCCCCTTGAAAGCAGCAAATAAAGCCAAGCAAGAAACTTAATAGAGTTTAGGAGTCACTTCTGAGCACGAGACTCATGCACAAGCACTTGGAGAGCGCAGCAGTCATTCCTTGGGCACAACACATGCTATCCAAGCATGCCAGCAAGAACTAAAACAGAAACCAAAGAGTGCACAGACCCAGAAACATCGCACCCGGCATCCCTGGGCAGGCTCAGAGCCAAAGATCCTGCAGGATGGAGGGGAAAGGGGAGCTACATCCAAGCTTCCTGCACACTTTGCACCTCAGCAGAACGGGATTCCACGGCTGGTTTATTTTCAGGAGCCTGACAGGGCTGGTAGGAAGCTGAGAGTGTCCCAGGCACCGCTGAGATTGCACACAATGGACAATTGTTCTCTATCCCAGCTCGGCTGCAATTTAGCCCACAATTGCTGTGGAGAGGCCAAGTCACTCCCAGGACAGCCTGTCCTGCCTTGTCCTCAGGGAACAAGTACCTTTATTTCCTCAGAAAGGGTCACTCGAGTCCCCCAGAGTGACCCTGGGTGGAGCAGGACTGACAGCAGTGCTGCCACCGGCAGGGAAGGGACAGAGGAAATTACAAAACTCTGACAAAATAAATTCATTATTTCATTTCAGCCCAGATTTATGAGGGCCTCTGAACTGGCACTTAGGAAAACAATTGTTTTCTTGTATGCTTTTTTCTGTTTTAGTGTTATTTCAAATTGCATCGTTTCCACATTTCTTTACCTAGGAATATCAAAGTTTATGACAAGAGCAAGCCAAAATACTTCATGAAAGCAAGAGAACACTACCACTGTGACATGCTTGATAGTCACCAGATTGTAAGCATGAGGCTGAATTTGGAGACACACACACACAGATACTTTTATAGATACCTAGGCACAGCACACACAAACACAGATGTTGTGTGCATTCATATATACACGGCCATGTATATATACACACGTGTGCATTCACTGCCCCATCACCATCTCAATCAAACAAACGGAAAGCAGCGCATCTGAAACATTTTAAGAAGTCGTTTCACTTTTAACAAGCCTGTGACTACACCTAGTTTGTTTTGCTACAGAAGATGACACTGGCAAGACAAGAAATTTGCACTGTAGCAAATGACATCCCTTTGGCCTGTTGGACCTGTGCAACCTGCAAGGCACATTCCCAGCAATCCAGGCCTCGGCTGGGCTCCCCAGCAGTACTTACTTGACAATTCCCTGCCTCCAAAGGAAAGCAAGTTAAAACATAACACAAGCATTAACGGTTTCTTTGCAGCAATTGAAAACAAACGTGCTTAGATTACGTTTATGCCATGGAGGAGCTCTGCGGAAGATAAGACACAGTCAGATATTAGAGGCTTTCAGTTCTTTGGGTGTTCAGCAGAGAAGATTTCTGTTACTCATGGCAATCTCGAGGATGTTCTCACGTGAGGACACGCAGTTGTCAGTCAGGGATAGAAGTCCAGATCCAAACTGACAAAACCTCAGCACTACCTTCATGCAGAAATGTGAAAGGATGTGAGTGAACTTTCCCTCCAGCCACCAGGGGAGAGAAGCCCAAACCAGGGCTGGGGTGAGCAGGCAGCACCAGGATGGAGAACAAGAGATGGACACAACAAGAGCTGGGCTGGGGGGAAGAGGGATGGGGTTTTGGAAGAGTGGGGCACCTTGAGAGAGGAAAGAGATGTGATCTTAGAGAACAGGGCCAAACTATGAGGGGAAAAAAGCTAAATCTGTTTAGATGGAAAATAAAGGTCAAAAGAAAAAGCAGAACAAAAACTGTTATGATAAATTCCATGGGAGGGGGATATAACCCACTCCTGTTTCCAGGGCACAGGGCAGAGTCGCTGTCTGGGGAGAACACAAACATTCTGCTCTGAGGCCAACGGGAACAGCATAGGAACTCCAGAGACAGCCTCACATGGAAGGGACCAAGCAGGTCTGGAGCAGGGACAGATGGACAGGAGTGTCCTGCAAGCCAGAAGGTGACAGGCAGGGAAAAGCTTCGAGCCCAAAAGGGAGACAGACATGGATTTACATGGCTGCAAACTGGAGAGGGAACACACCTGGATCTACACAAACACGAGCAGGACTGCTCCAGAGAAGAGAAAGCAAGGTTCAAGGAGAGGTGAGGTCGGTTGGGTTGGGCAACAGAACAAAAATCCAAGGTTTAAAAAATATACTGTTCATTTCAGAAAAACATTTAAAAGCAGCTTTTAAAAGTGCCCTTCATCAGTGACAGGAGGGGACTCCCAGGTGCCCTCAAACTGCTGCAAAACTCCTTGAGCTTTGTTTTTAATTCCTTCCCAGAGAAGGGATTAAAAGATTTTGTAAATTCTAAACCCTTGGATTTTCCCATCCCAACGTACATAGGAGTTTTACATATAACTTTTCCTGCTGTTACTTTTGCTTTGTAGCTATCTTAAGATAATTTTCTATGTAGCTGTCATAAGACAACAAGAAGAATAAGATTCCACATGAAAATACCCTACTTTCAAATAAAGCAAAGCAAAGCTCAAACAGAACAAGAGAAACATCAGTGGTAAATTATGTTTTTAAAGGACTGACAAAATGGTTACAATATTTATAACTTCACATGCATGCTGATGCACTCTTTTAAATAAAAAATGTTAAAAAAACCCCAACAAAATCAAATCCAAAAGTACTGCAGGACATGTGGTGGGGGCAGCTGCTGTCCCAGGCCATCAGGGCAGCTGGTCACTGCATTCCCAGGTCATCCCAGCCCAGTGCCCAGTGCCAGGAGCACTACAGCAGTGAGTAAGGAGGGCAATCACTGCAATGAAACCTGTGGGCCTTTGTCCTGAGCAGCCTGGGGAGGTGTTCCCTGAACAGCTCCTGCAGCAGCAGGACCTGCTGTCCCTCACACCTTGGACACTCCTGGGCACATTGTCCCTCACACACTGGAGGAACAGAGTCTTTTCCACTTGTTCTGTTATTCCCTGCATAGCTCCAGCACGTTTTGAGGCTGTGCTGTGTAAATCAAACCACAGAACCAATCCTGTATGGCAGAGCCTCCCTGTGTGTGACAGCACATGGGAAACACGGCTTTTCCATCAGCCCTGCGCTCCCTCCTGCACAGCAGCCCTCAGGAGAGCTGAGTGCTTCCCATCTCCCTCAGCACAGAGAGCACTCAGGTGCAGAGAGAGAAGCGGTGGGAACACGTGCTGACCTTGGCACCCCTCAGTTCCAGCCCCCAAGAGTCACACAGACACAGAAGACCTTTGAGCCAGCTCTGTGCTGACCTGTGGAGCAGCGAGATTGACTGAGTTCAGCTGCATGGCAGGGACTGGCAAATACCAGTCACAATGTGTACAAGCCTTGGGGACAACTGGGATGAAACCAGCAGGCTGTCAAATGCATTTAGGGTGCATTAACTTGACATAATGCTGCTGAGAAAGGGAAAGGGAATATTCCAAAGGATTATTCCCTCATTCTCAGAGAGGGGCTTTCTGCTGGAAGAAGCCCAAAGTTCTTTTCTCCAGCCCAAGGATGTGTTTTTCCAGATACATTTTGAGTAGTCCCCACCTACACATAAACACAACACGGATTCACACTCAAAGCTTTCCACTGCACCCACAGACGTGTGCGTGTAAAGGTGCAGGAACCAAGGCTGTAACCATATGTCTAATAATTCGCTTTGTGCTGCAAACACTTGTGGGGGCTATTTTGGAAGGTTATATAAATTAGCTCGTGTTGTTGTAAAGAAATCGATCATTTAATGAGTAACATTTGAAGAGAGGAAATACAACTTCTGTAACTTTTCATGTTTATCAGGACATATGATTACACATGAGAAACACCACGATGGAGACCGGGCTCTGAGGTGGGTCACTCATGGAGAGCGAGACAAGCCAGGATGCCAAGAAAACAGAAAACCAGACAAACATGCTAATGCTGCTTTTTGTTTTCTACACATTCCACCTGCCTTGAAGGAGTTCCCATCACCAGGTTCATGTGGAGTCATGCAAATTGAGCTAAAGGAGAGCTGCAGACGCAGGGGGTGTGTTAGGGGTTAGTAGGAGGCCAAATGCAAACAGGTCTTTGCCTTTGAGATTAGTAACATCAATACACTCGTCAGCAAGCTCGTGTTACTTCTCATCGTATCAACTCGTGGTTTAAATGGTTCCAGTTCGAAAACCGGCCCTTTTCCAAACTAGCACAATTCCTGTGACACACAGCAGAGCTTACAATTGTCCTGGATTGTCTGGGACAGTCCCAGCAGTGGCCAGGGGGTCCCGAGGAGCGGGAGCGCCGCGCTGGGAGCTCCCGCCCCGTGAGACTGATCCTGCAGCCCCTCTCGAGGGAACCCCGCTCCTGACCAAGGGGGCAGCCACGGGGACAGGATGGGAGACAAGGGCAGGGGTGGGAGGGAAGACATGGAAAGGGGAAAGAAGAAAAACAACAAGGTCGGGAGAGGAGAGAGAAACAACAATCGATTAATGATCTTCACCAAACGCACCAATACAACCGCAAGACGTTTTAAATCCGTCCCTCAGCGACAGCTCTCCTGTCGCTCTGCCAGCCTAAAACTGCAGCTGCTGATGGGGATGGGAAATGTTGGATCCCCCAAAAATACCAGACCGTGATTTGATTCAAACCTGCAAGTAAAATCTATCAAGCAGCTTCTACGGTCCTCCAAGAGAATGATTATTTATTATTATTTGCAGAATCATGATTATTTTAATTACATTCACGTTAGACAAGAAAAAGAAGTTTCATAAAGGGTTGTCATTTTCTTTTCTCAGGGAAAACTTTATAATTAGTCCTAAGTTTGTACTCATCATTGTACAGTTCAGCTCCCAATGCTACACTTGCAATCTTCTCAGGAGTCCTATCACAGTTCCTGAGATCAGACTCCTCCTGAACTGAACAATGAATTTTTATCTCTAGAGGAACAATGTACCTGGAGGTTTTCAGATTCACCACTCTCTATTAGGGAAGCACAGAGTCCTGTGAGCTTATTCCAGCAAGCAGAAAGATTAAACAGATGGACGTGTCTCACAGGTGCCACATGGCACCTTTGAAGTGTTTGATTGCATAAGAAAATAACTTCAGCAGCAGTTCACCCTCTAAATATTACTACTAAAAGTGAAAACCCCAGTGAGCTCCAAGTCACTGCCTCCAAAGAGCAGCCCCAACTAGCCCTACTTCTCTTGCTTAAACAAGAAATCTGCTTTTCCTCTTTTTTTTCCTTTCTTTAATTTAAACTTGCTAAATTATGAGTTTCTTCTCTCTACACCTTCACAATTTTTCCTTTCTCAAAGCCACGATGCAAATCCAGCAAGGGGGACGCTCCAAGACCCTCACTACAAGTTGCAGTGAAGTGGGGCAGCAGTTTCCAGGCCTTGGGACTTACTCACAGTTTCTGTTCCAGGCAGCTTTGTGTCATGGTTTTCAGCACATGGGCAGTGAGTGGCAGTAAATTACCAATGCCAGAGCATTCAGTGCACAAAAGCCTTTAAGTGCACAATCACTGGGGTCTTCAGACAGACATATGGCACAATGACAGAGGGAAAGACCTGGAATATTTCCTCCAGAAACATTTCCTCCTCGAAAGCCTACCTGGTTTCCCCACACACTTGCCTGAAAGAGAATGGCACACATCCTCTGGGTTCCCTTCTTCAAACCTGGAGGGGCTGGGAGAGCCACTTCAGCTGTGCCTTTGGCAGAAAATCTAAAGCTTTGGGAGCTGGCCTTCAATATTCCTTGCTGCCTCTTCACTCAGGCCTGGGCACAGGGATTTCAAGACTCCGCATTCTCAAGCCCTGCTGACCTGGGCCTTAGATTTCCCTGAACATTTAGGATATCCCTCAGCACAGACAGCTGAGTACTTGCAGAGTTTCCATTTCACCTGGATTGATCAACTGTCACTTTGGACCCGTGGAGGTGCAAAGGACAGTCAAGCCAGAGATTTCAGGAGTTTGTCATGGACAAACAAACCCTTTTCCAGCTGCTACGTTCTTTTGTGTTCTCAGAAAAGATGGAATTTGGCACAGCTACAAAGCTTTCCTCATATTTCATACGTCTTCTGAGAGAAGTCAGCTTTAGCCTGAGGCACTCACAGCTGGGATTGTGCCCATATTGTCCCACTGTCACCAGGAATTACAGACTTGCAGTGCCAACACATTAATCCTGTCTTACTGCACCCAAACCCCAGCACCTTTCACATCTGAAGGCCCTACCCAGTCACAACACCCTCAGAAATGCACTTTTGCTAACATTTCACCATCAAGTTGCTGCTTCTGATTTTTTTACTATAAATTCTCACTATTTATATTAATCCCTTGAAGAAGGAAAAGTGAATTATCTTTGCTGAACAAGTGACATATGAAAATTAAGAGATTTGTTGTCAGATTGATCAAAACAACAAATTCCAAATACCAAAGGTGTGATTGTACTGAAGCATCTATAATTTAAAAAGGAGATAGAAATGTGTACAAGAGCTGTGACTCAAGCAGAAAAGATGGGAAGGACAGCAACAAGGGATTATTTTTAACCTCGATTAAAATGAAGTATGGAACTGTTGATGACACAGGCACAGCAAGAAGAAAAAAAGATAGGAGAATGTTAAGACCACCTTGCTTTATTCCTCTCCTGAGTCCAGAGCTTGGGGATATAAATGGGATGGGTTATTTCCACGTGCAGCCATTGTGAAGGGACTGCTCCAGAAGCCAGAGGTGCTGTGTCCCCGTTTCAGGAGGGTCCAGCAGAGCAGGAGCTGTGGGGGCTCTGCAGCAGCTTCCCCAGGGCTCTGTGGCACTGGCTGGGCACGGCCTGCTCTCCATGAGAGGGCTCCTGTGCCATCCCTCTGCATCCCACAGCTGCAAGGGAAGCTCCCAGGGACCTGAAGGGGGATTTTCACTCCTGGAAATGGTGCTGAAAAGCTGCACAAGACACTGATGCTCCTGCTGAAATCATCCGTAATTCCTGACTACAAGACATTTTAAAACCCAGCATAATCTGTCAATTAAACTCACTCCACAGTTGCTTTTGCATCATCAAAGCAGAGTAAAACAGCTGGAGGGTACAAGGGTTTCTGGTGTGAAACATCTGTACCACTGCTACTTAGTACTCCTCTAACAATTAGCAATTCACCCAAGATAAGACAATAATTTTCCTTTTTTAAACTCGATTTGCAAACATTTATGTTTACCAGATGACACACTATGCCCTTTTGTAGAAAAACAGAGGAACAAATTCTTTATTTGAGGAAAAGAGATATTCTTAAAAGAAAGGGTAAAGAGAAGGTTATTGTCCAACATTTATTGTAAAAATTGCTGATCCTCCTCCTACATAGCATTGTTAAAACATTTTTCTTCTGATTGCTCATACCCCACATTTCACACCCAATTCTTCTGTTTTGCACATTTACTGAACAAAAATGATTAATTACTTTCTGTTCAAGATGTTCAGCACTGCATTCTTTGAGAACTTTAAAGACAGAAACTTATTTTTCCAAGGCCTACATGAGATTTGGGATTATTTACTCCATTTTGTCTTTTGCAATAACAGAGCTACTAAGCTGAAATTCTTTCTGTGGGTTAACCCACAGCAGTCTTCTGTGTCAGTGCCCAGTGCAAGGCAAGAGCAGGGAAACTGCTGAGAAAAGAATCCCCATTTATAAGAAAATATTCTATCAAAATAGCCAGAATGGATTCACAGCTAGCCACCAGCTGGATTCACAGGCAGGGATTTACTGCTCCAGATTTTGAGGGGAAATGTACTTTACTGGTTATAGATGCTCCTGTTCTGTCCCATCAGATTTTGCCATCCCCTCCTTTAGGTCTGTGTTTCACTGAACACACCCTCTGTTCTCAGCTCTCACCTCTTTTCTTTGCTCTCCTCTCCAACACTGTTCCCCTCCCAGCTAGTTTTTTTTAGAATATTTCAGCCTAAGGCCAGCCTGTGCCACAGGAAATTCCAGCTTTAACAGTGACAACCCAACACAATCACAAGTGACTGAAAATCTTTTCATAAAACCACAACCCAAAGCCTTAACCACAAAATATTTACAAGCTTACCACTATCACAAGTGCTCTGCTGCAGACACACAGTGGTTAGGAGAGAATATAAATGCTCATGTGCATGGTAGAAGAGGACACAACACTCTCAGATGTGTCATATACATGTATTTTTCTCCATCACATGAACGTGATGTACTCTGTGAACACCATTTTAAATTATACCTGGTGAATTTTAAAATTCCTGTCTTATTTCTAGGGACTGACTTTGGTTGAATGAAAAGAGATGCAAAAGGGCACACCTGGAAACAAAAGCCTTTGTGGGACATACCTCTCTTCCACTGAAACTTCCTTCAGCTGCTGATGGGGCTTTGTACCCTCCATTTCTCGGATGCTCACTGCATAGATCTTAGTGGTGTAGTCAATTGCTTTTTCTCTTGCAACATCACTATCATAACCTTAGAAAAATAAAACACAGAATAAAACAAACTACCCTTGTTTCACAGTGGGAGAGTGGAGAACAAGAAGATCTGCACCAATGAAAGGGAGGAAACAAATCCTACCAAGCTCTCCTTACACTGAAATTTAGCACAACAAAGCTCCAAGTTAAAGGCCTGTGTGAATCTCTGATGCAGGCGAGGAAGACTGAGTTAAATCCTCTTTTTACCTCCATCTTCTTCTGCATCTGTGTCTGACTCTTCACTGTCCACCAGCTTGCTCTCCTGGATGCCCAGGAACTCCCTGGTCCAGATCATGAGGGCGGTGTCGGCGCCGCCGACGGTGAGGAGCACGGAGTCGTTGTGCAGCCACTGCACGTTGGTCACCTGGGCGCTGTGCCCCACGTACTTCTTGAACTTGGCATGCTGGCCCTGCAGCACAGAGAAGCCCTCAGCTGGCAGCCTGGCACCCCAGCAACAGCACCTTCCCTCTCTGCCTTTCCAGTCACTGAAATAAGCCCATTCCTTACCTTCACTGGGTAGGAAAAGAGCTTCACAAAGCCAAAATCATCTCCCGTGGCCAAGAGGCTTCTGTCCTTTGTGAGACTGGCCGCGTTGACAACGGTGACATCGCTGTGCATGGGCCAGATTCCCTCACAGGTGGGACCAAGCACACATGTCCAGGTGTCCCATTCAATCTTCTCTATCTGCAAGCAGAATTCCCCCAGGGGAAGCTTTCTTACTTTAAACATACCAAATACACACTAGCTTTGTGTGTATACTTGTCTGTGTTTGAACTTTTTATTTTAATATTTTTAGTTCTTAAGAAACTGCGCTGCTCCAGCTTGCTGATATCAACCATGTGTCTTCATCAAAAGGCTTAACACTTTAAACATTCCCATTTTTCCAAGGGAGGGCGTGATTTGGGTACAAATCTCCCTGAAGATTTCTGAGCTGCTAAACACTGGCAATTTTGCAGCAGAATTACATGTCACAAGTAATCAGGCTTTTCATGAAAAGCCAGGTCCTGCTGTTTGAAGGTGGTTTATAACCTGTATGCAACTGGTTACACAGAAAACAGGTGACTTTGAGAAGAGGACTATGGCAAATGGCTGCTAATAGATAAATAAAAATAAATTCAGAGATACAAGCAGAAAACTGCACATTCTACAATTTAGAAATGCTAGGAAACACACTGTGGAATTACTAAATCATTCTAATTCTAACCATTGTAAATATAGCATTATTAAAGGAAAAAAATACACCATTTGAAGACAATTCTTAAAATTAATTTTCCCAGTAAAAATAATCCAGCACACATAATTCATACCTCAGCAATTCTTATGATATGTCTTTTCCCCCTCGGTGCTTCAAAAAATAGTTGTTCTTTGGCACCAGAATTGACTTGCAATAACTTTCCTGGATACAAAAGGAGAGTTTGTTATGAATCTTATTAATTATTATGACTGTTAAGAACATTCTTTTGATGGAGTGAAGAGATTTCTGGGGGTTAATTAAGAAATTATCCTCTAGAGAGTTATTCATAGCCAAAGTAACACAGATGCTTAAAATCACTCCTGTAAGGGTCCCATACTCTAATTCAATGCATAAGTATTATTTTAAATACCATCCAGTAGCCATAAGAAGCTGTTGTTGCACAGCAAATCAGTTTCTGCTGATAGGGAATATTTTGCTTGTGTTTCATCATCACACTAATGGAAGTCAAAAATAACTGCATGTGCTGTTAGTTTTCCTAATAATTTTACAATGCAGCTTTGCCAAAAGCGGTCCCTTTGCCAGTTCCTATCCCTCCTGCAGTGCCCCAGTGGCAGAGCCAGCTCCACTCTCAGCTGCCCTGGGATGGGAAGTTTGCTGTGCCCATGGAGATGCTGCTGCCACTGGCTCACACCACGTTTTGGGGTGGCACACAGCAGGGACAGGGCTCGGGCACACAGGTGGCCCCACACACATCATATCTGTGATATGGTTCACTGGCATAAGCTCATTACAGATCCTGCTGGACTTAATTAGTTGGGACCATCGTGCTCCAGCTTCTTGCAGGGATTGCCATGCAGAGCTCAGCAAGGAAAGGAAACC